GAGCCTTGGGTTTTTTCACCAGTAAAGTGAGAATAATATTGCCTCAATAACAGTTTTATATATATTAGACAAATAATGTAAATCAAGCATGACAACTGTTACAAAGCAGTGCTCTATGACCACCATTAATTCCCATCTGGTCCCTGCGTGTCAAAATCTCCCATTTAGGCTCATTTTCTGAGCCTTTCACTGCTGGCAAATGTATGACTTGCTCAGGAAAGTGGGAAAAAGCCCAGTTATAGCACTGATTTGTAGCATTGGCTGATTTCTGTGGTGTAAATATTCCCACATAGCTTATCTCTAGTTACAAGCATAAAGTCAACTAATACAGCCTTGGAAATGTGCTGTAGCACCTGAGTGTTCTGTCCCATTACTCTGTTTTATTTCTTTTCCACAACACTTTTACTTTTGAAATTATCTTAGTTAACTGTCTAGTTATTTATCGTGTTTTCCTGACAGAAAGGTCAGCACCATAAAGGGAGGGACCTCATCCATCTGGTTTTCTGATTGTTCTCAGCAAATACAAAATCAAAGTTAAGGAAAGATTCCCAAAATTAAGGACACTGTAAAGTATTTTTTAAAAGCTTGATTTAAGCAAAATACTCATACCCTCAATATTAGTAACACTGCCCTTTTGTTTAGAAAAGGAACCACCATGACCAGTAACTACCAAATGCTCAGACAATAAAAATGTGTCAGGCACATGTACTTCCATATAAAGGACAACATTTATAGATGTCCAGCTAGAACACATACAACCCAAGGCAAGCAATCCTATCATTCTTAATAACGCACAGGCCATTATCTTATGGTTACAGAAAGGCAAACAAATAAGTCATATATTGTCATTGTTCTATTTTTATTAATCCGACTAGCAGGCTCACCCTCCCATACCCTGAATTTACTTTACCTGCATGAATTAACATCCGCAAACATTCTATAGAGTTGTGATAAGCTGCTTCGTGAATTGGCATCCATCCCCTATTATCAGCAACATCAACGCTCAGTCCCTTTTTGAGCAGTTTCCTTAAGACTTTAACATTGCCTTCCCTGGCAGCAAGTCCAACCATGGAGCATGTGTCAGAGTAAGCCTCTGTAAAATCCATTCTTTTGACCAGTCTACAAAACAAGGCAGAAAGAAAACACTACAGTCAATAAAACAACACTAAACTCCTAGAGATTAACAGATCGAAGTGGGCCTGTTTAGCATCTCTCACATGACTGCTGAGAAACAGCCCGAGATGGAGAAATAGACCTGTCCTGCCTGAGCCTCTGCTAGAGTCTAACCCAGGAAGTCTCTCTGGGGAACTGAAATTCCTTGGAATGTTCTTATCAAAGATATCAAGGGAATTTTAAGTGTTCTATCATTCCTTCTCTGGCAATGGTGTCTGAACAGCTCCTTCATGCAGGGTTCTGCTCCTACTCATATCCCACTTAAATGTACTCATTAGAACTCTGTTAATGAGAGAGAGAGAGAGAGACAGAGAGAGAGAGACAGAGAGAGACAGAGAGAGAGAGAGAGAGAGACACAGAGAGAGAGAACAAGTGCACTAGCTCTAAATGCCTCCAATTAATCCCAATGCATAAAGAGATGGTCATTTAGTGACCGGCAATGCTCAGCCTCAAGAATTCATTTATAGCCCTTTACAGCAAAATGCTAAACCCAGTAAGGCTAGAAAAGAAATGAAGAACATTTTATTGAAAAGAACAAAGACAGCCCTGATTGGCTGGCTCAAGTTTCTCTCTCTCTCTCTCTCTCTCTCTCTCTCTCTCACTCACTCACTCAAATCAAAAACATATCCTTGAGTAAGGATTTAAAAAGAACAAAGATAAGTAGTAAATCTAGTTTTCCTGCCCCATGTAATCCTTTCCAGAAGGAGCTAAACACTCAGGTTCTATTTCTTTGATGAACCAGTCCCACTGACTGACTATATTAAAACGCATAAAGAACATAATAAAAAGATGAGTCCACCTTTCCTACACCAGCCCAGAAATTTCTTCACAGCATATTGCCCTCTTCCTCATCTTCATTTCAAGTAAGTATACGATGTAACTCTCAGTATGTGACTCTCACAGAGACAGTTTCTTGTTAGTCACACTGTGAGGTGGATTGGGCTCAGATTCAGGATTCTCAGGGGAATAATTAGCTCCCACCGGGTAGACTCTCTCAGTAACATTCTGACCTCATCCTTCCTCTTAGTTTTCTAATCATCATAGGAGATAATTCAGAAAACACCAACATGTCTAGTCTGATACAGGTGAAAAACTTTCTAGAACCACATTATAAATAATTTATCCAGAAAAGGAAGGTTTGAGGGAAGAGGTTTAAAAAAAGTACACAGTATTTCCCATATTAAATTTAAACTTATCCATGGTCACATTTAAATATAAAGCTGTAACTGCAGAAGTTGATTCTACAATGAGCCAAACAGCTAAGGTTAGCTATGGATTAATTTGATCAGATCAACTGGACCATTATTAGTAAAGATATTTATTATAAACCACTTAATTATTCAGTTAACAGTTATTTACTGAGCACCAACTAGATGATTAGCAATGGAAAAGATATAAAGATAACATGTAGATTCTATCTCAAGTCATATACAGTCTCATAGAAATTGTAATACATGTGATTCAAAATAAAAAAGCAGAAAGTGCCACAGGAGAAGTACAAAGAACCATAGCAGCCAAAAAAGAGAGAACTACTTCAACTTGGTGACAGGTATGAGCTGGGCTAAGAAAAAGATAGGGAGGGTTTGACAATGGGCAGAAGGACAGACATAACCAGACCTACAGAAATGAACAAGCAAGGGTGAGTAAAGGACAGTAAATAAGGGAAACAACTTTTTCACTTTGTACGGAGGATTAGATAAACAAAGAACAGTAGGAAAATGAGATTATAGAGGTAACTGAAGCCAAACTGTGGAGAATCTTGAATGTTAAGCTATACTTTTTTCAAACCATGCTAATTTCTAGCCATGGCATTACATCCAAGTTATACACACATGTGCACACACACACTTTAAGGAAATTTATAAGCATATTTATTAACACAAGAAAAAAAAACATTTTCTATGTAGGAAAAACACAAACACAAATTATAACCTTACTCCAAAGACAGTAAAAACAGCATTCAAGTAGAAACAGGTATGCATCTTTTTCAAAATTTTACTGACTTTTCTCATGATTAGGAACAATGTTAAAGGATCCAGATTAATAGGCAATAATCTGGAAAAATATCACAACTGGGAAATATCTGCGAGCTTCTCATGGAAAGGAGAAGTCAAAAGTAATGTACTATAATAGCAGGGTCATTCCCTTCAACCCTAAACACTAACTAGTTAACATAAACTGTTTATAAGATCTCCTTTCATAAAAACCTTCCTCTGTTCTAGACTAAAAGAGTGCAAGCAACCACGTGTAAACCTCAAATGGATCCTGGATTGGTGACAAAAATAGCTACAAAAGCAATTTTGAGATTATTAAGGAAATCTGAATGTAAAATAGACATTTGATGATGTAATTAGTTAATTTTCCCAGATGTGATAATGAATAGCATGGTGGTTATTAGAATGTCTTTATTCTTATAAGTATTTAGCAGTGAAAAATTGTAACACATACAAATTATCCCAAATGTTTTAAAGAGTATATACAGAGAAAAAAATAAAACTATGGCAAAAACATTATTGGACCCACATTGAGGGTATATATAAATGATCACTATACTTTTTTTCCTCCAACTTTTCTGTATGTTTGAAATATTTTTTTATTTTTATTGTATTTTTCCATTACCATTTAACCCCCTTATAGTCCCCTCCCCACTGCAACCACACTTGTGCATGTCCATGAGTCCTTTTTCCTTTTTGCTCTATCCCTCCACCCCGTAATGTTCAACTTTTCTGTATGTTTGAAATTTTTCAAAAAAGTTGGGGGAGATGGAGGGAAACTAACCATCTTACACAATGTGAAACTAAAACTTAAGACAAAATATAAAAAAACTTGGATATTCTTAAACTCAGTTTGTCTTTGTAGCAGTTTCCTGGTGATTTCTTAAGAGCACAAATAATACTCTTTGAACCTGGGTGTTACAGCATTTTTTTTTATAAGCTAAAGACCACTAAATAGTTAGAAATCCTCAAAAAAGAACAATTATTTCGTAAGGCTTTTACTTTAACATACAGAAACAGCGGTGATATTAGCTCTAACCAGTAGATTGTTAACATATTTTAGGACCCTTGACCTGCTGGGAGAACTCATAAAGGCTATAAAGTTTCTTCTCAGAAAAATGCATGTAGACCTCAAATATTGTTTACAGTTTCAGGAGGTTCTCCAGATAGTTTCCAAAGTCTGTATATGAGCTGAGAACCTTTGCGTACTCTTTTCTGAGAAAGCTGTCGAGAATACTGAAGACGTATAAGGTTGTTTTGCAAGTAAAATTTAAATATATAAGCAAATTTTGATGCATTAATAGTAGGTCTTTGGCAAGAATAAAAGTTCTGTAATAAACTTCCTTCTTTTATTTGAAAAGCAGATGATTTTTAAAAGTGTAATAAAGTCAAATACGAATTGCATTCCCAGCTTGCGTTCCGATGGCTGCTGTTATATGAGCAGAAATCCCGTTTTTTAAGCAGAACAAAAAGTTGTTCTACACGCCTACTGCCATTCACGTATTACCGTTTCTCAGTATCCAGACCACAACCAAGACTCCTGCCCTTTCCCTTCCCCTAGCCCTACCCCAGTTCGAAAAAAGCTGACAGTTCCACCTCAGCCACAAATCCCAGACAAGGATTGTGGGTATTGTAGTCCTCTGCACCCGCGCAACAGAGGAAAGTTTAAAGGTGGTTTACAGAGGCAGCAGGACAATCTTTGCTTAGCATGCTGAAGGTCAATGTTACTTGCTTCCCTAAGGAAGAAAATAAAATAATAACGTTGACCAAGATAAACCTGAAAACGCACATCGAACTTCATGTCCCAGTGTATTTTGCGCCACCAGCCAGGCATTGCTCCTACCGCGCCTGCGCCCTGCTCAGCCGGTAACTCGCCTTGGACAAGCAGAGGACGAGGCCAGCACTCCCGCCACTGTTGCCGCTAAGGTGCAGGCAAAAATGTGGGTTTTTGGTTACGGGTCCCTGATCTGGAAGGTGGATTTCCCATATCAGGACAAGCTGATTGGATACATCACAGGCTACAGCAGGCGCTTCTGGCAAGGCAGTACAGACCACCGTGGAGTCCCCGGCAAGGTGAGCCGCCAGCCAGAGCCCTACACTTATTGTCCCCAGAGTGCTGTTCGCCACCGTCTTGCCCATCTCTGCGGGACCCACACCCTAAAGCTTTCCAGTGCCAAGTATGTGGGTTAGGGATAATGCTGTTACATCTATGCAACTTCCTCAGCTACCTGACTCCCACCTCTCCCAAACCTAGGGTACTCCTTCCAAATCTACTTGAGAATCTAGTGGTTAGTTTCTTGAGCAGGCAAGAAACGTGGGCACAACCACTGAAGCTCGCACAAAGCTGACGTGCTGGCAAGGGGCCCCCTGTCTTGGCAACCTCTGCCAAAAGAAAAAAGAAAGAAAAAGCAAGCGGGAAGATCAATCTTTGAGTCATAACGGAGTTGAAATACTAATATCAACTTGCAGATTCAGCTTTTTGGCAATTAAATCCGTTGGCATTTATGTATTTGACAGACTTTCATTGGTTTGAATTTAAACATGTGTTATTTCTGAGTTTTCTTTAGTATCTTTCCAAAGGTTTATTTTATGACACCTGTAATCAGAAAACTAGTTTCCAAAATTACCTGGGGTTATTATGAAGCTTTGAACACTTTGGTGGTCAGGTACCATACTAGCAAAGTTACAGTAAAAATCTCCTGATTTGTTACCTGAGTACACAGTATCCATTACTATATCCAGCATTACTTTAATGTTTTTTGATGGTTCTTCTCTAAATTATAAATGTGAAATGTAAGTTCTTTGATCCATTTTTCAGTCAATCACCCAAAGACACTCATCTCAATCTATTTGTATAGAATATTAGTCACAGCTCACTGCTTATGGAAATCAGCCTTGTAGTGACTATAACACAAATAATCCATAAGTAACATTTAGTTTGGGGTAACTAACAATTTGCATAATTCAAACATTTGTTTTAATTAACCTCCTAACTTTTGAAAGAGTTTAACATTTTGTATTGCTTATGTTCTCTAAAATACTCTGAAAGTTTTATGAGTTCAATTACTGTTTTTTAGAGAGATTAATATTGGCCCAAAAGCATGATATCTAAAATGCTAGAAATCAGTTGTAGAAAGAGATTAGGTTTAATTCCAAAGAAATACCTGCAGTTGTGGAAAGAGGAAGTGAGAAAGGCCTACAGTAGTTTGCACCTGCTCATAAAAAGAGACATAGAATTATAATCACAAAAAGAACCTGAGTCAGAAGCCATTTTGTCTCAACTAGAGTTGATTAATTAAGAAGTTTGCTTTAAAGTAAATAGATGACTTGAAAACAGGGGAGTGACTTAGAGCAAATGCACATTTATAGGCCAGCAGGGAAACTTCATGGCCAAAGTATCTCTAAGAATGTTATAAAACAATATTTAAGACTTTAAGGAACTAAGTTAAATAAAATGGCTTTTGAGTTATCAGGCATGAACACTTAATATTGCCATTCTGGAAAGAAAAGCCTTAGCCTAGCATCCAGTTTTAATTTTTTTTTAAAGATTTTATTTGTTTTTAGAGCGAGGGGAAGGGAGGGAGAAAAAGCAGGAAAGAAACATCAATGTGAGATAGAACCATCGATCAGTTGCTTCTGGTACGAGATCCAGGCCCAAACTGCGGACTGAACTGGAAACTAAGGCATGTGGCCTGAGCAAACTTACCCTTCACTTTGCAGGACAACGCCCAACCGAGTCACCTTGGTCAGAGCCTAATGGCCAAGTATTAAATACTTACGTATAAGGTTATAATAGCATATTTTACTACTCTAGTCTCGACCAAAATGTACAAGTTTGTTACACAGTACATTGAGATATGTACAGTGTGAGAACAGACTGATAAGAAATTGCCAAGTCAGTACAACACAGTTCTCTAAAAGAAAGCAGCTATAAAAGCCAGTATCTCTCTTTTTACTTAAACTTACTAAAATATAAGGCAGGAAAGTTAGGGGGAACAACTGCAATCATTTTTAAATGTAATACTTTGACACCTACTTTTATTTAAACAACCCATCATAGCAAATTAAAAGAAAGTCTAAGTACTGAACATTTTCTAAGTATAATGCTCTGTTTTTAAAAAATGGGAAAAACATAATTTACTTCACATTTTTCACTATAATGGATCACCAGCCTTAGGTAAATATTAACTGTCTGACAACCAAGAATACAAAAGCCTACAGAAATATCCTGCAAATTAAAAGAACAGCATAGATGCTGTACAGGACTGTGTTTTTACAGCAACATATGCTCCTCCTACGATAGTCATTACTATGTATGAAAGGTAACATTATTAAACAAATATTAAACTTATTTCCACATACTACAATGTGTTATTTGTGGGGAAAAAATAATGAACCTACTTGCTTTATTAATTTATGCTTTCTTTCTGGCTTCATTAAACTTTAATCTTTTACTAAGTTTAATCAAGCATCTCATTTATACAGAACAAACCAGCAATTTCTCATCAAATTAAAGATTTATTTAAATGTGAAAATTTTTCACATCAGAGAAAATAAAAATACAAATTTCAAAAAGGAGGAAACATTTTAACACAAGATAATCATGAACACTTACTAAATCTCTAACTTTTCTAGATTGGAAACATTATTCATTACCCAATGAAAGCACACAGCATGACCATGACGCACAGCAGAATCAGACAACATCCTCCAATTCCAGTCAGCTGGAAAGACCCCTCCTTCAGTTTCAATCCCCCCAAAGAAGCAATTTAGTGCATTTACAAATGTACATTGTTGCTCAATAACATATATTTACATTTTAGGGAGAAAAAACTTAAATTTTAGAAAATATTTCCTTGTAAATATGTCAGTATTACCAGCAGTTCATGTCTTATATCCATAAGCAGTCACAGGGATCCATTAATTTTTCCCTTAAGATGACTCCCCATATAAAACTGTTTTCTGTTTCAACTGCCACCACCTAAGTCCAAGATTCTACTACCCCTTCTCTTCCTTTCAAAAATTACTAGTGAGCACTTACGTATAACTGGGGGACGCCTATGCAAAGAACAATACTTGGATACTACTATAAAGGAAAATAATAAAAGGTACAATGAGAGTTTAGGAAAAGGAGCTACTGTTGCAGTCGTCTGGGAAGTCAGCCAAGCCTTTATGGAGAAAGTGGCAGGAGGATATCACGGAAATATAAAAGAAGAAAGGGCATTCCACACTGGGTACTGGTACGTCCAAAAGTATGACTGTTCATAAAAGTTATAAATGATTCAGTATAGCTTGAGGAGAACAGTGGTAAGAAATAAGGTTTGTGGTTAAGTCATGCTAAGGAATCTGTATTTTATACTGTAGAAAATAACCCTGAAAAATTCAAAGCACAGGAGTGGCCCAGTTTTTGCACTGGAAAGTTTTTCTAGGCCCAAGTAGAGAACAGAATGAAGGGAAGCAAAACTAGAAACAGGCAGTGAGATCCCTAAGAAAGCCCCTGAAGGATGAAAAAGGAATGAGATGCAGAAGATGATCAGAAAACAGAGCTATTAAGAATTGGTGACTTGGCTGGATGTAAAAGGAGGCAAGAAAGGGTGCAGTATAGAACTTGTCACCTGGACCACTACATTTTTTACTGAGAATCCACCTCCTTCTCACTCTATTCTGCATACTTTACACTTTACCACAACGATCTTCCCACAACACTTCTTTTATCATGCCAGTCACCTCCTGCTAAGTTCTAGAGTGGCTCCTTATTTCCTTTTTCTCCCAAATTTCAGCAACTTCTTATTTCCCACTGTCCCCTAATTTCAACTCTACTCTTTGGCTTTTCAAAGCTGACCTCTGTCCTATTTCTGCAATTATCTTTCTGAATCATCTTCCCTACATGGGGGACCCTTTGCTAAAGTCAGACACTTGGCCTGGTACAATTCTGTCTCCAGGCCCTCGCTCCTCAATAGCAGTGCCTTTATGCGAGAATTTTATGTTCCATTCTGACCACTCAAGACTCAGAATTCTTACTACACTTAATAAATACCATACATCTGAGCTGTTAAGTATTCTCTACCTATTTCTCATGTCCACTTCTTATTCCAGTATAAGCTCTTGGAAGTAAGAATCAAGGTTTTATCTTCTCTACAACACAGAGTATGTATTCACTTAGAAATAGCTACTTCACTTAGAAATGGGAACTATTATGGCAGTACCTACATGACCCACAACACTCTATGCACTCTCACTATAACATTATCTTAAGTAGAAAACAAATCAAATCTAAATGTCCTAATATAAACACAGGAATGTTTATACTTCACTGATTATAGAATATCACACAGGTATTAAAATGTATGAGAAGGCTAACAGGGAAATAAACAAAATCCAAAATGCCATATATTCCATGATTACAAATTATCTATACAAGTAGACAAAGACTAGAAGGAAACAGCAACAAGGATGACACCAATAATCTTAAAGATTTAGGCTATATGCTAGACAATGGGCATCAAGTAAGTAAAACTGTGGTTTATAACTCAACACTTTCACTAATGATGGTGACATATCAGTACACACATAACCTCTGGCACCAAGTGGCAATTATACAAGTCAGAAACTCTGAGAGTGTGACCTAGTAATGTGTTTATCAAGCCCTCCAAGTAATTTTGATCTTAAGAAACACTTCCCTATAAAAAGCACCTTGGAGTGCCATGTTTTGTTCCCTAATAAACTGTATATATTTTTATTTATAACTGCCTCTTCTTTCTGCCTTTCATTCAGATGAGCCTTAGTCACAGGTGTGTTTTTTAATATATCCATTTTAAGTCAACCTAATACATACAAGTTGAAGGGAATGGCTTAGAAAGGCCAAGATAGTTTGGATAAAGTAGATTCTTTGCTTAATTCACTTTAAAAGTTATCAAAAGCCCTGGCTGGCGTAGCTCAGTGGATTGAGCACGGGCTGCGAACCAAACTATCACAGGTTCGATTCCCAGCCAGGGCACATGCCTGGGTTGCAGGCCACAGCCCCCAGCAACCGCACATTGATGTTTCTCTCTCTCTCTCTCTTTCTTCTTCCCCTCCCTCTCTAAAAATAAGTAAATAAATCTTTTTTTAAAAAGTTATCAAAAACATAAGAGCTTTTAGTATGAGCAAATGAAGTTAAAATATTGCATGTCAATAATAAATTGCTAATGTCTGGTTAGTTGATGAACTTTGATTCAGGAAAACAATTTTTTTACTTTTTTTAAAACAGCCTGGAAGAGTTGTGACTCTTGTTGAAGACCCTGGGGTATGGTATAACTTTTTTTTTAATGGCCTTTAATCATGTAAGTTGTTGAGATGTTTCTCAGTTTTAATAAAAAATGAAATTGTATTAAGTCATTACAGATAATTTGAACTGCACTAGATCTAGAATTCTTCTCTATATTTGCCTGTTGAAAAAAGCTGGAATGTAGAACAACAAAAGAAAACTAAATGGCATGTAGTCTCATTTATTTTTCTTAATGAGTTTGTTGATTGAGTAATTTGCAGTCTTCTGTGACATGAATGGATCCAGCCCAACTACCAACTAAGAATCAAATGGGACCCGAGACTTCCGGCCAAGATGGAGGAGTAGGTAGATACACTTTGCTTCCTGGCACAACCAAAAGAAGGACAAATTTAAACAAATTTAAAAACAAAAAAATAACCAAAACTGCCAGAAATTCAAACTGTATGAAAGTCCAACAACAAAGGAGTTAAATTATCTAAGAAAAAGAAGATGATAAAAAATATGAACAGCAAAATGGCAACAAACTCACACCAACAACTGGACCAAACAAAAACAAACTAAGCAAACAACTAGAACAAGAACAGATTCACAGACATGGAGATCACATGGAGGTTTATCAACAGGGAGGGAGCAAGGGGAGAATGGAGGAAAAGGTACAAGGAATAAGACGCATAAATGGTAGGTACAAAATAGACCAGGGGAGGTTAAGAATAGTATAGGAAATGGAGAAGCCAAAGAACTTATGTAAGACCCATGGACATGAACTAAGGAGGGAGAATGCAGGAGGGGGGAGTGCAAGGCAGACGGGAATAAAGGGGAGGAAATGGGACAACTGTAATAGCATAATTAGTAAAATATATTTTTAAAAAGCTGGGAGACAAATGGGGAGAAAGATGAGAAAGTCTATGATAACTAGGCTGTAGAAACCTCTTTAAAAAAAAAAAGAATCAAATGGAAGCCTTAAAGCTTTCCACACAGTTACTAGGAGTCTAATATTTTCAGCAAAAATCCCAAGCAGGAATGGTTACCTTCTTTATTGTCTAAATTTAACAATAGCACAACACACTTTTTAACAGGTTGGAAGCACTAGAAAACTTTTACTTCCTCAATAGTCCTCTGTTTCTTAAATATTTTCAATCATTTAATTGAGGTACAGATTTAAAGTTTTATACTGTGAAGTTAAAAGATTTAAATTTGGAAAGGACTTTGATATACACAAGTCAGCAGATGATTAATGGTAAAATTATGAAATGCTTTCATAATTTACCTTAGGAAAAGCATCTATAAAAATGGCTTTAAACAAGTAACTATAACTCTTAATGCGAAAGTTAATAAATGGCACTCTGTTTCTACAGAATGTTAATTCACTCAAGATGCTTTAGCAATGCAAAGTTTAATAAACAAATTTTGTCAAGAAACTAGAAAATCCATATTACAAACTGCAAATCTTGCATATATCAGATATATTTTTATTTTTAATTATATTTTATTGATTATGTTGTTACAGTTGTCCCAATTTACTCCATTTGCCCTCCTCCAACCAATGTCCCCTACTCCCTCAGGCAGTCCCCCCACTATTGTCCATGTACATAGGTCATGTGTATAAGGTTTTTGGCTACTTCATTTCCTATATATTTTACATCCCCATGGCTATTATGTAACTACATTTGTACTTCTTAATCCCCTCACCTCTTCACCCATTCCCCCATACCACCCTGCCATCTGACAACCATCAAAACACTCTCCACATCCATGATTCTGTCTCTGTTCCTCTTGTTTGCTTAGTACTTTAGATTTAATTGTTGATAAATATGCATTTATTGCCATTTTATTGTTCATAGTTTTGATCTTCTTTTTCTGAAATACGTCCCTTTAACATTTCATATAATAATGGTTTGGTGATGGTGAACTCCTTTATTACTTTTTTTTTAATTTTTTTATTTTGGGGGGTCTGGGAAGCTCGTTATCTGCCCTTTGATTCTAAATGATAGCTTTGCTGGGTAGAGTAATTTTGGTTGTAGGTCCCTACTTTTCATGACTTTGAATCAATCCCTTCTAGCCTGCAAATTTTGAGAATCAGCTGACAATCTTATGGGAACTCCCCCATAGGTAACTAACTGCTTTTCTCTTGCTGCCTTTAAGATTCACTCACTATCTTAAACATTTGACATTTTAATTATGATGCATCTTGGAGTGGGCCTCTGCATGAGTCTGGAACTCACTGTGCTTCCTGAACTTGCATGTCTATTTCCCTCACCAAATTAGGGAAGCTTTCTTTCATTATTTTTTCAAATAGATTTCCAATTTTTTGCTCTTTCTCTTCTCCTTCTAGCATACCTATGATGTGAATGTTGAAGTGCTTGAAGTTGTCCCTGAGGCTACTTACACTATTCCCATTATATTGGATTCTTTTTTCTTCTTGTTGCTCTGATTGCTTGTTTTCTGCTTCCTTATGTTCCAAATCAGTGATTTGATTCTCGGTTTCATCCACAGTACTGCTATTTTCCTATAAATTGTTCATTTCAATTAGTGTATCCTTCATTTCTGACTGGATCTTTTTTATGCTTCTGAGGTCCTCACTAAGTTCCTTGAGCATCCTTATAACCAGTGTTTTGAACTCTGTATCTGATAGATTGCTTATCTCCATTTCATTTAGTTCTTTTTCTAGAGTTTTGATCTCTTCTTTCATTTAGGCCATCTTTCTCTGTCTCCACATTTTGGCAGTCCCCCTGTGTTTGTTTCTATGTATTAGATAGAGCTGCTATGACTCCCAATCTTGGAACCATGGCCTAATGTAGCAGGTGTTCTGTGGGGTCCAATGGCACAGCCTCCACTATCACCCAAACTAGGTACTCAAGGTGCACCCTTCCTGTTGTCTGAGTACACACTCCACCTGTAATTGAGCCTTGATTGCTGTTGGCAGATCAGTGGGAGGGATTTACCCAGGCTAGTTAGCTGCAAGGACTGGCTGTGACCACTGACCACCAACCTCTGCCCTTTGTGGAGGATCAGCTATGCAGGGCAGGGTGGTGGTGCTTGGACATAGTCTGTAGCTATCCACTGGGTGTGCAGGCTGTGGGGTTTCCCATGTGGTGCATGCCAAGGTCAGCCCCCACCTGTGTTCTGCTCAGGGCCACCCTGCATGAGCTCTAAAGTAATCTGAGACAGCTGCACTTGTGCTGGGCTTGCAGATTCTGAGGTGCAGCCAAGCTGTGAATCTAGGCTGGCTGCTGCTAGTGCAGTGCCTAGGGCCACTTCACAAGAGGTACAGGGGCTGAGAGCTCACTGAGGCTAACTGTTGCTTGTTTGATAGGATTTTGTGAAGCATGAGCCAAGATCAGCCATTCATATGGAAAAGTCACTATTAACAGCTTGGGTAGGCCCTTAAGTAGGATAGGACCAGAGTCTCAGGGGATCTCCAGCACAGGGCAGACAGTGTTAACCAAGTGGATGGAGTCTCAGATATGGCACCCACCTGTCAGCTCTGTGGCGCTGTGTGGGGAGGGTTCAGAAAAGGGACAATGGCCTCTGCTCACCTTTCTGCCTGAGACAAAGCTGCCCCCAGCTCTTGCCTTGATGCCAGACACTTCAGTTCCTCCCTGTATGCTACTGGTGCCTTTCAAGCTGTTGCTCATTGCTAGAGCTCAGAGTGAGTGAGTCTAAGTCCATGTGTAGGTTCTTTAAGAGGAATTGCTTGAGACTCAGAAATTTCTTCCACCGACTCAATCCCTGCTGAAGATTTTGCAGCCAGAAGTTATAGGGACTTATCTTCCTAGCACTAGAACCCTGCACTAGGGGGTCTACTGTGGGGCTGGGACTTCTTGCTCCCAAGATATTCCTCCCAGATTTTCATCCATCACACATCAATGTGGGACCAGCTAATTCCACATCTCCACCCCACTACCAGTCTTGACAGATGTGATTTCTTTAATTCCTTAGTTGTCAGACTTCCATTCAACTCAATTTCTGATGGTTATGAGTTGATGGTTGTTCTATATTTTAGTTGTAATTTTGATGTGCTTGTGTGAGGAGGTGAGCCATTTTACCTCTGCCAACACCTTGATTCTATCAGCTTTTAGTCTTCTCACAGATATTTTATTAATACTTAAAAAAAAAATACTTGCAGCTAAAGTACATTATTTTCACTGACACTTTGTTCTTGGGGGATCTCTTGACAAAAAGAGGTTGTCATGTAGTATTCTGGATGGAGATATTTACAAAGGATATTTGAAATTTTAGGCACTGAAGAAATGAACCAATAATATGAAAATGCTCTGGCCTTAAGTAGTTGATTACTTCAGAGCTTTTAAAACATAGAACCCTTTCTGCAAAAAAAAAAAAAAAGGAAATACCTAATATGTAAAAAGATAAGTGATGCTCAGCTCCTAGCTGAAGAGGGGGGATTGGAGTATCCAAACTCTTGGTGCCAGCACCCCAAAAATCATATCCAGACAGCCTTTGAAGTAGATTCCAGGGTGACTATAACACTCCATGCAGCAGTTTAGAAACTACTGCCCTATACCATTAGTGAGGTGCCTATAGATTTAAATTTTTAGAACTACAGTTTTAATAACCAAATAAAGACCTGTTATTTTTTAATTTTTGACTCATTAAATAAAAGACATACTTTAAAAAATTAAACAAAAAAAATAAATATCCTGGTATGCAAGGAAATAATTTTTTCTGGTTGAAAAACTTAAAATGATTTTCTGTACTTTTTAGTATGTACCTCTTCAATGCACTAAGTAAAGAGAATTGCATTGATTTCTAGGAATATTCAAGATATTTTCTTAGATCACAACATATTTTCATCTGCATTAGCCTTGTAAATGATAAATAATATATTCTTTTCATTTTTCAATAGGGTTGTGTATGGGGTGTTGCTTACAAACTGCCAGTAGGAAAGGAAGAAGAAGTGAAAGCATACCTTGACTTCAGAGAGAAAGGAGGCTATAGGACCACGACAGTCACTTTTTACCCAAAGGATCCCACTGCAAAACCATTCAGAGTGCTGCTATATATTGGAACATGTGATAATCCTAATTATCTTGGTCCTGCACCTCTGGAAGACATTGCTGAACAAATTTTTAATGCAGCTGGTCCAAGTGGAAGAAATACAGAATATCTTTTTGAACTTGCAAATTCTATTAGGAATCTTGTGCCAGAAGAAGCAGATGAGCATCTTTTCTCTTTGGAAAAATTAGTAAAAGAACGTTTAGAAGGAAAACAGAACCTCAATTGCTTATAAAGACCTGATCATTGATTTTTCCAAAGTAGAACTTTCAGTCTTCAGAGAATAGTTTCACTGTGCAATGACAATATGATTTGGAAACGTATTTACTTGGAAGATCTCATTTATTTTTAATGTTGCAGTCAAGATATTACAATTTGTAGTTTAATTGCAAATGTCCTGAAACACATACTTATTCAAAATATTAGGGTATAGTTAAAGAAAAAATTCAAGTTTCAATAATATAATGATTCCCTAACTACATGAAAATGAACGCTTGTAAGAAGTGAATTCTTTAAAAAACAAATACAGTGAAAGACTCAGTTTACAGCTTGTTTTTTTAAAAGAGTAAAAAACAATTTTGTTGTTTCATATCACAGTACTATTTTGAAGTTATAGAGAATTACACTAAAATTGGTCCAGGACATCCAATAAGGTATACATTTAATATATTCCTATGCAATAACCCTGTAACCATGGTTTAAAAATATATAAGCTTAAAATAATGTATAATTAGAAATATATAGTAAGATAGATAAGATTTCAGTCTTAATTATTGTTGTGAGATTTCAGCCTTGATTGTGAATTCCTTGTTGAGGTACTAAGTAATACCCTTTCCAATTTAAGCCAAAAAATTAGCATTTTTAATATAAAAATTTCCGTGGAATTATAATGTACTGTACCTCTCCTTTTTGAATAAATGCATTTTACTACACAGAAAAAACTCATTCAGCTAAAAAAGCACAAGTTACATAACATAAATCCACTAGCAATGTAGTCTGTCATTGACTTTGTATTAATCTTATACTGAAACTTTTTTTAAAGATGGGTTTTCTTTTTTCTTTCTTTTTTTTGAGGGGGTTCTGATATGACAAATTAACAAACATATAAAGTGAAGGTCTGGTGTTTGAAATGGCTTTTAGAATTGTACATTTTTTAAGTAAGAAACGGTATGACCTGATCATTTGCTAGGTCATGTGCTACACAGCTTTTTTCCCCTCCTGTCTTGTAACCTAAACAGAGGTAGCCACTGAATAGTGTTGATGATGCCACTCAAGCAGGAATTATCCATATACATTATTAATTCATGTAGAATTAGCCTTGATCCAAACTAATCAGATTCCTTCTAATTATAAGTGACTTCTTTCTCAATAGGATATATAGTATCTAAAAATCTTTCAATATGAAAAGAATTTATCACATAAATCTAAAAGAAACTTAATAAAAATTCTTAGGCATGACTAAATATAGAATAAAAATAAAGCTGTCCTACATAGTAGGAACAGTAGTCCTTTTCATGTTTTTCTAGTTTCTATTTATTAACCCCTTACTTTGTAATTTACTCAACTATATAGCTTTTTAAATGTTTTCCAACATTTTCAATATTAGTTTTCCAGAAGACATTTCACTTGTCCTATGCAACAAGAAAAGTACTAACATTCATTAATGGATATCTAAAGAAAATATTCCAGGCACCTTACATATGGAAGCATTTTCTCAATATAATGCCTGTAAGCTTGTTTCCATAGTAACTTGCATACAGTTACTAATAAGTAGCAGAAATCCATGTTTCTCTGACGCAAGCACAAGGTCTTTCTACAATATATTTCAAAAACCACCTGACTTTAACCATCTTCACTACCCTGAATCTTCAAGAAGTATAAAAGACTGTTTGGTATAATGAAATAGTACATAATTTGTTACATAAAGATGTTAGAGTTAACTGTGGTAGCTACTCCTTCAAATATAATGGGCCTATCCAGTATTCACATGCTGTAGTTCACAATCACATAGGTGAATTCAAAGATTAAGCCTTTTATTTTACAAACAGACCTCAGTCCAAAGGAGCTGGCAACTCCCCAGTGATTCTTCTACCATGTTAACAAAATATTAGGGGAAGGGATTACTTTGTGATCCCTATGTATATTCCTTTCCAGCTTCCAGTTATAAATTAGATAAGAAAATACATGAACATAATGTGGTATACCATCAACATTTATAGGGAGGTCCTGTTCCAAAAGGCCCAGGAACGTGGATATTTATTTTCATTGAATAGGGGAAAATATGACAAAATGGAGAAGTTAAACAATACTGAATTGAAGAGAAGCTAGGATCTGGAGACTACAAAACAGAAAGAATCATAACAAAGACACAAAGTTACCTAGAGCTTACTTTTGTTAGCAAACTCTCTCTCTTCACTGCCCCTAAAACTCACTTTCAAAACATTTTCTCTCATTGTAACCTAATAATGCACACAAAACTCAGGCTCTCATTTCTCAGAATATTAAACAGGCCAAAAAGCCTGTTACATTTTTTTCCATGATGGCTCTAACAATGCTTAGCTGTCTTTAACTTCATTTGAAAAAAGTTTGTTAGATTGTGTTGTGACAGCTGTCATATCAGTGTGCATTTAAAAAAAACATAAAAACTGGTGAATATTTGTGCAGCCATTTTAATATTGAAGATGGAAGAAGATATGCAACCTTTCTGGCCTATTATGCTTTATTATTTCAAGAAAAGGAAAAACACAACAAATGCAGAAAAAGATTTGTGCACTATATGGAGAAGGTGCTGTGACTAATCAAACATGTCAAAAGTGGTTTGCAAAATTACAGTACTATGGACATGTTGGCCAAATAATTCTTTGCTGTGGGGCTGTCCTATGCATTAAAAGATGTTTAGCAGCACCCCAGGTTTCTACCCACTAGAAGCCAATAGAGGGAGATAGCTGACATACTCAAAATAACCAAAACAATAAAGTTTGTGGTGAAAATGAGAAATGTGTCTTTTATTTTACAGAAAAAAACTAAACAGACTTTTTGGCCAACCCAATACAAATAGTTAGGTGTTATGTATTATGAATTCAAGTATGACCACAACAATAAAGTAATTTTTTAAAAAAGTATTCAAATATATGTGCAAACCCTACACTGAGAAAAGGCACTTGTAATACAAATCTCTAATGGAGAGAGGAAGAGAAACATGGACTTGTTCCACTCATTCATGCATTCATTGGTTGATTCTTGTAGGTGCCCTGACCAGATCTTAACCTGCAACTGTGGCGTATCCAGGTGCGCTCTAACCAACTGAGACACCCGACATGGGCAGCAATGACTTTTTTTATAAAAGATGGGGAGAAGAATCCAAAACTTTTTGTCTTATTTTGAATGCAGGCAGACGTGTCGACCTCACATGATTCATAACCTCACATTTACCTGGCGCTGAAGCTCACATAAGGAAACTTAGCTTCTTTGATAAAACAATTCAACACTTCGTCTATGGGATGAAAGAAGAGTCCCACGTGGGGTAAAAATGAGGGGACAGTGAGAGGCTTCGTCCATGCCAACCTCAGAGAATTACAGTACTCTTACATTGTGACAGGTTATTCTTGCATTGTGACAGGTTTCTTCAACTGAGGCATCCCCTAATCCAGTCTCTGCAGAGACTGAGCAAACTGCCCGCGTTAGCCGTAAGTGCAAAGTACAGAGATAATAACCACCACCCACCGCAGAAGAAGCAGAGAGACGCTTCAGACCAGAAAGGTGAAGCGTGAGGATGCTACAGGCAGAAGGAGGGAAAAGGAAAAGCAGCAAGAGTGAAGAACAGTCAAGAACTATCATTTCTCACTTATTCCTACTTCGAATTTCCTCGGCTAAAGACCAGCTCCTGCCCTACTCACATTCTTTTTTCCCGCTCTAGTGTGGGTCAAACTGCTGCCACCCGCTGCAGAGCCGCGCGTCACGGTCTCCCGGACTCACCGGCTCTTTGTGCCCCCACTTCTCTGCCGAAAAGACTGGTCTGAGGCCCGGTCTAAAGGAGTCCCCTGGCGCGAGAAAGCGACGTCCGATCTCCCGGCGAAACTGCGGTTGTGAGAAACAAGCAAAGCCTAGCCGGTGTCCCGGCTTCCGTAGGCGGGGGCCTCGGCGGCCCCGGATGTTGATGTGCCGCCTGCCCCGGAAGCTGTGCCAGGTGGCCCGAAGGGGCAAGGGCGGTGTTGCCGGGCTCTCCGGAAGGAGACGTGGCGGCGGTTGGGCTCCGGGTTGCCTGGGCGGTTTAGTAGTCCCGCCGCCTCCTCCTCCTCCTCCCCCTCCTCTCCTCTGTAGCAGAGGAGCGTGTGTCGGTGGCTGGAGAAATCGGCGGTGGAGGATGGAGGAAGGAGGCGGCGGCGCGCGGAGTCTGGTCCCAGGAGGACCCGTGTTATTGGTCCTCTGCGGCCTCCTAGAGGCGTCCGGCGGCGGCCGAGCGCTCCCCCAACTCAGCGATGACATCCCTTTCCGAGTCAACTGGCCCGGCACGGAGTTCTCTCTGGTCAGTGCCTTCTCAAACCCCGTAGCCGTCTCTCTTCCTCCCGGCACTAAGGGTTCGGCCCCTTCCCTCGGTATCTACGCTTTCCCCCCCACTAGAACCACTTCTGCAGGCGCATGTCTCCTTCCCCACTCCAAAACTTCATTTACCTCGCGTTCATTCATTCATACAGCAAGTGCTTATCGAACACAATACGTAAATGTGTCCTCCATGGTAAGCATTGGGGATCCAGCAGTCACCTGCTCCCCCACCCCGTTTTTAAATGTCTCACTAGACTTGCTTACCAACACTCCCTCCCTGTGGAAGAAGTTCTCTTAGAACCACGTCAGGCGTGCACTTTTATCTTCTCTTTGGAAAGTCAATTGCGGCTCTCCCACCACCTGCAGCCTTCTCTCCTTCGGTATTACACACCGCCCTGCCTGCACACACAGCCGATGCGTGTGTGTGGGCAGAGCAGATGTGAGTTTCCTATGTCATCATATTCGTTCTATCTCTCTGGCATGCCACACGTACAAATATGCACAGCTCTTTTCCCTTCAAGGTTGTTTTTGAGATGGCTATTTGGCCTGAAATGTTAACGACACTCTATGCAGAATATCTTTTACAGTTTTGATTTATAATGACTGTTAAGACCCCAAAATACGAGATTTTATTATCAGTTTTCCTACCGTAAAGAACATATTTATAACCTCAATAACGAAAATCTGCAGTCCTTCTCTTTGGGAAATTGCTGAAAAGTCTTCCTAACACTGTAGACCGATAAAAAATTGTGGTCTTATATGATACTTACCGTTTAGTGATTAATTCATTTGTTTTAAATTAAGTCTTGGAGAATGCAAAACTTTTTTTTTAATTCTTATTCCAATCACCTATTGTCATTTCATGTGAAACTATTTTAGTATGTTCTATTACGATGTTATTGAAGCATGAGTAAGTGATACCATCATGTCAGAACAGTTTAGATC